GAGATATGATAAAGTGATCCTGAGTCCTCTAAAATTTTTATGTCAAAACTAAATGTGCAAAATGAAATTTAAGGTCTCAAAACAATGCCTGAAGTTTTCACCTTCAGAATTAAAGGATTTTGATTGCATTTGAAATATCTCCAAGTTTTAAGGCGATTTTTCGTTGACAAGGGTATGTGCTGGACTAAAATTATCCTTAGGACTATTGTTCGTCATTAAGTCCTTTATAAATTCTTCTTTAATATTAATCTTGTATAACGTAAAATAAGGCATCAAAATGAAAACTGAAATTAAGAGTCTCAGTAATATAGAATTTAATGATTTTAAACACATTTGAAATATCCCTTAGATGTTAAGCGATTTTTCGGTGGCAAGGGTAGGAGTTGGATTAAAAATATCTTTTGAACTAGTGTTCGTCATTAGATGCTTTATAAATTCTTCTTTAATATTTATTGTGTATAATTTGAAATAGTGCCACAAAATCGTCACACAAAACAATGACCTCATATTCTAACCTTCTTTGATATATATATTCATAACATCCTATGCTACCTTTGGCAACAAGCAGGAAAGGGAGATACATTTCTTAAATGGGTAATTTATTTACCAATTAAATTTCTATATTTAAAAGGAAATTTGCACTATAGATTTCTAGGTGCGAAAGAAAGGAAAGGTGAAAGAAAATATATTTTTTAATAATGTATAGGGATTTATAATAAGAAGAAGGAAGAGAAATTGCTGGTAATTATATTTACAAATAAATGTCCCTCAACTCTTTATTTTGTTCTTTCATATAAAATAGGTTAGCGGGAATTATATACCTCAAAATATGACGTGACATTTTTTCATTTTATTTTTACGGCCCCTGGAAAACCAACCCTTACTTAAATTTTGTTTTCAAAAAAAAACTATTATTTTGCCATACAATCACCTTCTTTTCTGTCGTGTGTGGCTGATAACACATTTTTTTCATATTGTTATTGAGAACAAATATATCAATATTTTCATATTTTATATTATGCCGAACTAATCTACGTTTTTTTTTTCAAAAAAGGTCTTAAGTGGTATTTATGCTCTAAGACACCGACAACGACCACTACTTTTCCAGGTGATTTTGAACTAAATAATTATGAAAACAAAAAGAAAAACCAAAACAAACCAAGTAATTGTAATTGAAATTCTAACTGAACTTGTGTACAATAAAAAAATAATAATAATAAACAACAAAAATATATAGGTGAGTGTTAAGAAAATAACGAAGAAGGCAATGAAAAAAGCATAACGAAAACAAAACAAACTACAAATAAGTACCTTTTTTAAAAAATGCTCTAAAAAATTACTATACATGTAGATAAGATAAAAACTATGTTTGATACAAAGGCCTACAAATACAACAACCACAACAACAATATGGACTATGTACGAAAAATCAGAGAAGAAAAATTATATATGAAATGAAAAAACACCAACAAAAACGCTTACCAAATGTAGAACAGTCAATAAATTCATGTGGAGTACACTTTGCTTACTTAAATGTCAGTTATTAAATGCAACAACAACAGCAACACCAAGAACTCAAAATAATCTATACCTAGAGCAAATGTCGAACCATCGAAAAAGAAACACAACATCAGTCAACATAAAAACTACTAGCTGGCTGGATAGATGGATGGTTGTTTGGTTGGATAGATGTATGACTGCCTAGCTGTCTTATTTATTGATAAAGTGATGCAATGTAAAATTGAAAAAAATACCTTCCTCCCTTACTCCGCCACTGCTGCACAAGAACCAAAAAATAGTTATACTGGCGATTAGCTTCCAACTAAAAAACAAAGATACCATTATATACCAGGTAGAAAGAAAACGAACGAAGACAAATCGTTTGAACATGTGTCGTCGTCGTCATCATCGCGTATGAAGGTTGATTTGCTGCTGATGTAGCCGCCAAGCATTTTGTATAAACATTAATAATGATTTATAAATATTTTATATCTTGAAAATCGAAAACCAAAAATCTAAACATCAAATGCCAAATAAAAAATGAATGATGATTCTGGCAGCAGGGTTTAATAGGGGAGGGGGAGGGGATATCAAAGGTTTTCCCTTTACGAAAATTGATGATAGTTTTAATTTTGTTAACTAAAAATAATATCAAATCAAAAAAGTTTCTGTGTCAGGTAACATGTTTCTTTGATTTCTTTTCCGTTAGCTAATTTTTTTTCGAGAACTGTCAAAATGTCATGCCCGAAAAAAAAATGAATGATCGAATATTAAATTACAATTTCTAAATTAAAATTTAAATGTCCGTTAATAACATTTTATCTAAATTAAATAGAAAATTTTAATTTTATAACCAAAGGCATAAACAACTGTTATACGTATCTCTTATAAGCGTAAAGAGAAATGAGGGAAAACCCTTGTGATAATCATGTGCTCGTACAACATTCAACGGCTTCTCATTTCTCTTTACTGTTATAAGCAATTATAACAGTTTTCTGAACATTTTAAGTAAAGAGAAAGAGAGTTGAGAGTAAAACAGTTACCTTATGATAGAGGAGAAGCCATGTTGTTCAAAAACTCTCCTTATTTGATAACACAAACGTTACCTGCCGTTTGTGTTATCAAATGGTGAGTTTTTGAAATGAGAGAGTTTTTGAAAAGAGAAAATGCATGGCATTTAAATCACAACAATTGTTGTGATGAAAAACTGATTTCTCTGGGCTCTATTGAAGAGACACCTGTTTCATTCATCAAATATTAAAACTAATAGAAATTATTCCTTGTGGTAGGTTAATGAAATAATTTATTGAAATTTTTATAAATCAAGGATTTTTGTTCATTTTTAATATTTCAAATATTAAATAATAATCACAAAAATTAAGCAATTATAAAATATACTTTATAATGATGGGTATTTCAAGTAGCCGGTATTCAAATAATCATACAAAAATGACTACTGTATTTCATTTCTCAACAATTTACAGATTTGTTCAATTTTTTTTTTGAAAATACAAATAAATCATGGGTTGTCAAAAGCCAGATGCACATGTTTTTTCTGTTATCATCGATTATCTAAACACACGCTTCACTCCAGTAATTATCGCAGTGCATATTATTGCATATTTGTTGATAGCTAAAGGGCATGTGGTTAAAGTTTATAATTTGTTAATCCGGTTTAAATGTTTTTTTTTGTTATTTTAAATTGCATCATTGATTATGACAACATTAATGGTGTTATTGCTCAATTTGAATGTTTTTGATTTTAATTAGTGTCATATATGAACTAATACAATATTATAAAGATAACTCAATTTTAAAATAAAAAATATGCTTCTCAGAATTCCTACCCTTCTAAAGGAATTTTCTATAACAAAGAATTTAGATAAGTTAAAATTATATTCGGGAGAAATGTCTTCCAATAGTCTCTCTATAATATATACTCATAGACCAAGTCAGCCTAAAAATATTTACATATTTTTCAGAAAAGTTTTGGTATTTTAAATCCCTGCCCCAAAAAAGAAATACTTTCAAAATATTCTCAGGTTCCCAATAATACCTGAAGCCCGTTATTTTTTTCTTTGGGAAATCTTCATAAATTGTTATTGTTGTTTTATGGTATTGACTCATTTCTTTTCTTTTTTTGCAAAAACAATAAAATTAATTTACATATCAATTAGTTTTTAATAATAAACAATAACAACAGAAATAAAATCACCTTTTTTTTCTTTAGAAACAAAGCTTACTATTCTTATCGAACACCCTTCGTACAGGTGTTGCTAAATGCTTGAGTTTGAACAAAATCACGTACGTACGTTCGGTTCGGAGGTTTCTTTGCCACACTAGTTATTATTAATTTTTGCAAAACAAGTGTTGTTGTTGTTGTGGGGTGGCGGGAACAGAAAAACATTTTTAAATAATCCTAGGTATTTAAAAAATTTATTTTTGAGATTTAAAATATAAAAATGATTTATGGGATCGAATAGGTAAACATGGACACTAACTATAAATTTTCCTATAGGAATTTTCGAATTTTTTTATGAATAAATAATTCCCCTAAAGGGAAATTTTTAGTTTTAATGATTTTTAAAGAAATATTTGATTTATTTGGACCTTTCTGATAAAATAAGCCATTTAAAACCCAATAAGGGAAACTTTTGTTTTCAATAAAAATAAAGATTTTTCATTAAGACATGAACATTCATCAAAAACATTTTATAATTTTGAACAAAAAATATTTCCCAAAAGAATGATTTCAATAAAAATGTGGATTTTTGTATTCATTTAATTAACAAATTCCTTAAAAAGAAAATTTTTGTTAATGGCTTTTTTAATATTATTCAATAGTTAGCAGATCGTCAAAAATGTTCCCTTAAAAGGAAAATTTTATATTTAATCTCAGTTTTGGAGATAAAGATTTTTTGTTTAAAAAAAACCTATGAGAAATATTTCCAATATCATCCAATTGAATTAAAAAATGCAAAATATTCTACCAAAGTTCAGGTTAACAATGTTCGTTTAGTTGACTTGATTTTTCTGGCCATAGTTGGTAGTAGCTTGTAAAGAAATCAAATACATAATTTTGTATTAGAATCACGTATGAACAAGAGTGAACTATGAGCGACGTGTAATAGCGCATACAAAATGCTTTTGGCCAGTTAGATGGATCGTTGGTATGCCTCTTGCATGGATGGTTGGTTCGATGGATTTGGTCATTTGCATTGCTTTGGTTTTGGTTCAAATCAATTCATTTTCCATGCTTGAGACATAAACAAGAAAAACAACCAAAACCAACAACAACAAGATGGTCATTAATTTTATCATTAACCTGCATTTAATTGTGCAAACGTAAAAATTCCCCTTGGCTTATGTACGTCTGTGTGAGAAAGTGTTCTACAACAGCAAAAACAACAACCTACTTGTTTTCAAAATTTCCAGGTTAGTTGATGTGTTTTTCTGTCTTCCTTGTAATATCAATAATTAGATATATTTTTAGAACTTACTTTTGCCCTTAACAAATTCCGTATGCTGATCCTCAGCCAAATGATGATGCGTGGAACTGCTGACACTGCTGATGCTGCTCGGCTGTGAGGCCAATGACGATATCAGATGTTGGCTGGATGGACGTGGGCGATGCGATGACTGTGAGCGATTGCCATTGTTGTTGTTGCGCTTGCGCTGTGATCTATTATTATTGGTATCCTCATATTTATTGCTATTGCGGCCATTGCGTGCTCGTTGCGCCAACAGGGGCTCGAAATTGTGCGTGAGTACTATCAGTAGGAGTAGTAAGGCTCCAAACCAATTGTATCCTTTCATTGTCAAAAGAAAATTGTAATAGCAGCACAGCACAGCTCAGCTTTGTAACGCCAACGTCATTATAGTTCTGTTAAATCCCTAAATGTTTTGGGCGGGGACCGTTGGGTGGCTGGCTTCGTTGTTTGGCAGATGTAAATCAGTTTTTGGTGGGTTGTTCTGTTTTTCTTTCTTCCAACTGGCTGGTTTGGTAGGTTTTCACTTGGTTTTTAATATTTTTTTTATTCTTTAATTTCAATACTCAACATAGAAACGATATTTCGTTTGATTTTTTCTTTTTGTTTTAAGAATCTTACGTCATTTGCAACTCTTTTTTTCTACTTCTGCACAATTTGTAATTTTTTTGATATTCTTTTTTTCTTTTTTTGGAAAAATATACACAATTTTTTGGTTGTTGTTGTTTTTCTTAAGATTTGCTTTAATTTTTTGCACACTCTCCTCTTCTCATATATGTTGTGTTAGGCACTTTACAAACAGTTGGCAGTTTTGATTTGCCGTTTTGAGATTTACTAGCCAAACAAGTTTTACGGTTGGGTAGTTGTTGTATGCTTCTTCTTGTTGTTACTGGTTAAGTGATATTTATTTATTTTTTCCAATAAAATATTGTTTTAAAATTGATTCTTTTTCTTGTTTTAAATAATTCAAATTAATCCAAATTCCGTTTAAAATAATCCAAAAAGTATAAGTTTTGCAAAACCGAAAAAATGAATAACTATGCATCAGACATTTCCATACGAAGGCGACGACGACACGAGAAACGAAGTGCGCTTTAAAACGTTGAGTATGAAACTAAAGTTTATCTTGAAAATACGAAATGTAACTACCAACGCCATGGCCATGCAATATAAAAATCACACACACAGGCACTTGACTCTCTTGCGGGCACTCTCTCACCATATTTCACATTGGTGTGGTGTGTGTTTGTGTGATAGGAGCCGAACCAAAAAAGGTTTACTCTCTTATGTGATGGCATTTTTTCGAACACAAAAAAGATTGTTTACCACCACTACATTGAAAAAAGGTACTCGAAAAAAAACAAACATCCACAAGATACAATTCCACAAACAACCACCTTTTCTTTCCTGCTTGCTACTGCATTAATGTCGGTTGTTTGTGTGTCTCCGGCTCTCCCTCTCTCCCAAAGGCCATTGAGTGATCGATCAATTGCCGCCAGAGAGTTTGGGACCAGGTATTAACATTTTTTCAGGTAGTATCTACCATTCTACTGCCTAAACAGTTGGAAATCTCAGCATGTGCTAAGTGATCTTTACAAAGAACAGGTCTCTCCTATCACTCTCAACTGAAATGTTATCTTAGAGAGTACCATAGATAAATTTAATACACAATGATTTGTCGAAAAAAAATAAAACGTGGGCTTACTCTATATGTTGTTGTTGCTGTTGTATTTTGTTTTCAAGATTCTGTTTAAAAAAGGCTAAGATCATAAAATTCGTTGTTTTTTGTAGCAGTTTTGTTTTATTTTTTCAACGAAATCGAAGATGAGGTTATCTATAATTAATATCAAATTGACAATTGGAGATCATTTTACTGTCAGAACAAAAAAAAAAAAAAAAGAACTGAAGCAAGTAAATGGCAGATCGACGTTTGTTAAGGTTGCCTTCTTTGGTTCTTCAAATTTCTTCCTTTAATGGAAATTGCAAAACAATAAGAAGTGGGTACCTATTGATGAAGGATTGGTGGTAGGGTGTAAGAAGTAGATATTCTTATCATCCAAAGGTAATTTGATGTGCCAAGAAGTCTTTTTAAAAAGTACAATTTGTAATATTAAACATCATTGCCAGTCAATAAAATTTAATGGTTGTTAAAAATTGGTGGTTTTAAGGAAAAAAAGAGAAGAGTGAGGAGATTTTTTAGTGAGAATACAAAATATAAGAAAATCAGTAAGCTAAAATGAAGTTCCTCACCAGGAGAGATTGGGTTTTTGGATGATGACGCTTTTTGGTCTATAAAACTATTTAACAAAAAATCTAAACTTTTCTGGGCTATTCATTCTAATTTGATCCCAAAAAATATTATTTAAAAAATACAAAATTTTTAGTCCCCGAAAAAAAAGAATTCTTAAAAAATCCACGCTTCATTTGGTGCCTGAAACATATTTTTAAGAAGTCTAATTTGTTTTGATCCTTTAATGATCCTTTACTCCTGAAAAATATTCTTAACAAATCCAAACATCTTTTGATCCCTGAAAAAATATTCTTTTAAAAACCCCCTCTATTTTGGCTCCAAAATATTTTTTTTAAAAACGCCACTCTATTTTGATCCTGCGAAGATTTTTTTAAATCCTCCTTTGTTTTAGGTCCCAAAAAATATTCTTAAAAAATCCATTTTATTTTGGTCCCTGAGAAAAATATTTTTTAAAAATTTAATTTTTATTTTAATCCTGAAAAGCTAGACTTTAAAAAATACAACCTTCTTTTAGTACCGGAAAAATATTCTTAAAAAATAATTTTTTCTTGGCACCTTAAAAATATTCTTTAAAAATTGCTGACTTCATATGATTCCCGAAAAAATATTTGTTAAATAATTCAGCTTTTTGCTTGAAAAAATATTCTTTAAACAATTCTCAGATCTTTTGGTCTCTTAAATTTTTTTCACAAAAATTACGTGTTTTAAAAAATTATGGTTTAAAAATCTCAAATTCTTTAGGTTAGTGAAAACATATTTGCGCTTTTTTGGGTTCTAAAAAATATTCTTTTAAAATTCACGTTTCTTTTGGTACCTGAAAAGCATTTTTCCAAAAATACACCGCTCCCATGGTCCCCGAAAAATTTCGATTTCAATGCTGAAATTTTCCATTGTAAGAAATCCGAATTATTAGAACTTGATTTCAGAGTAATATGACTTAGAAAAATATTAATAGTTTTTTTCCTAATTCAGATTTTTAAGTCTGATTGAATAATTAAATTTTAGCTATCAATTTTGACGGCTCAACAAAGGTTAACAGTAATCTATTAATTTTTTATAATACTCCAAAATGATTTGAACTATAAATTTTGATTAAGATTAATTTCTGTTTCAACAAAATTCATTCATAAAAATCTAAAACGGAAATTAGTTTGAAAAAAATTCCCAAACTAAGGAAGACCTTATATTTTAATATTTTTTTTAATATTTAATAATTTGAGGAAATTAAATCCCAATTAAGTTCCGTTCTAGAATAGCAATCATTTTCTGCATGGAATTTCCACCCTATATTCACAGCACATAGATATATGAAAAATTCTAATAAAATATATAATTTCCCTTTTAATTTGTTCTGGTTGCAAAAAAAAAAAAAATAGGAAAGGCAAATTATTTTTTTTTTCTCATTGGCATTTTGTTTTGCTATTGTATTTCCCAAGAAATGCCAATGGTAATCAATAAAGCTATGAAGGTGATGAAGATGATGTTTCTCCTGATGGTGATGGTGGTGGCCAGCGATCATATTAACGGTCTTGTGAAAAAAATATATTAGCGTAACCGAAACAGTAGAAGAAGGAAAATAACACAAAAACAAAACAAAAAATATTAACAATACAGACTGATTGACCGACCGGCAAATAAAAAATAACAAAAACAAAAGCAACAACAAATTAGCAAAAAACTGCCAAACATGAATATGTTTAACAGGAATTGTTTTTTGTTAAGCCAACACGAATTGTTGTTGCTGTTGTTATTGTTTATAGCTAAATGGACACAGCTGTGCGCGTGCGCAAGTTACTTAGTTGGTTGGTTTGTTGTGTGTTCGCCGCTATACTTTACAATTCAAGCATTTCACACACACACATACCACATCACTCAAGAAAAAAGCTTATGATGCACAAAAAATCGATACCATGCAATTCCAGAATTTTGTTGTAAAAAGTTCAGTATTAAATGGTCCATTACAGCATGGCACACTGACTCAAATTTTGAAATTATGAACTTTATTTTAAAAATAGAATTTTATGATTAAGATTTCTCTTCGTTTTTAAAAAATTTCGTTAACGCATTTCAACGAGTTAAAAAGTGTGAAATTGTTCATGTAATTTTGGTTTTTATTGTTAAAAAAATATTTCTCAAAAACCAATAACAAAATGAAAGTCATTCCCCGAAATAGCAGGCAAACGCAACAACTCGACATCTTTAAACGATCACCAATGCCGCCATCCATCCCCGTTTATAGTCCTCCCACCAAACGTCCATCCTCCGTCGTCCATGCGCTCCAGCTCAGCCAGGCATCACGAAAAGATCGTGGCTTTTTTGTTTTTCGATTACGGTTTGTTTAGTGTTTTTTTTTTGGTTGTTTGTTTACAAAACCATCATAAAGTCACACTTCAGAAGTGAGTATTTGTTAACCCCTTCTTCTCCAAGAAGTTGGTATGTGTATTCTTCCCCCCAGTCCCGCCAAAAGGCGAACCAGGCAAACCACTTACCAAACCCTTTGCATGTCTCGTTTGCGGCACGTTAATAATAAGTATTGCATGAATATGGTATTTTGAACATACTGTCAGTCAGTCAGACAGCCAACCAGAGTCACTCAGTCCGCTAACCAGCCAGAGTATTGGTATTCCAATGAATGTCAGCTTCGTTTGGGTTGGTTAGACAGTGGAACAATGGTAAAGAGGTGTGGAGATTTTTTATTGCATCTATTATTTTAGATACCATAGTAGAAGGATTAGAACACATCAACTTCTTTTAAAAAATCCATAATCCTGGAAACATATTATTTAGACGACCTCGTCATATTTTGGTCTCTGAGAAAATATTCTTCGAAGAGCCCAAAATTTTGGACCCTGAAAAATATTCTTTAAAAAATCCACACTTCTTTGGTTTCTAATTTTTTAACATCCACACTTCTTTTGGCCCTGAAAAAATAGTCTTTAAAAATCCACATTTCTGTTGTTTCCCAAAATATGATTTTTTTATCCACCACACATCTTTTGGCTCCTGAAAAAATATTCTTCAAAAGTGCACACTTCTTTTAGTGACAAAAAATATTTTTTAATAAATCCACACTTCATTTGATC